TAGGGGATTGTAACCATGGCAATGAAATTATATACGATAGGATAAATGTTCTATCATGTAAACTATCACATAATTCACAATAAAACATAAAAAAAGAGGGGGGAATAGGTGTAAAAGTGATTGACCTAGTCTTGGAATATACTAAGAATTCCACATATGTGAACTAACTTGTCTTCTTCCTTACACTCCCACAGTCATCGAAATGCATAGGTCTATCTTGTCTATCTCTTAAATAGATGCCCTTTGCCTTCTAATCTGATAAAGTCAGGTAGTCATGACTCTTACCTGCAATAACCTCCTCCTTGCTGTTTTTTGTCACGTTGGCTACGACTCATATAGCAACACTAAAGGTCAGAGTAAAATTTCCCAGAGTTCCTAGGTTGTAAATCTTTATAGGAGGACCTTGCCTGACCGTTTCTGCCATGGAGGGACTGGTGGGTTTGAACCACCAACCTTTGTTTAGCAGCCAAGCTCTTAGCCACTGTATTACCAAGGCTCCCTACTTCTTACCTGGTGTTGTTGTTAGATGCCACTCTGACTCATAGTGACCCTTTTACAAGAGAATGAAACACTACCCATTCCTGTGCCAATCAGTATCATTGAGTGTTTCCCTTTTTTTAACTGACCTTTTTTATACTACAATTCAAACGCATCAATTCTTTGGTCCTCCTTATTCAAAGTTCACTTTTTGCATACAAAGATGATTGAAAATGCTATGGCAAATATAGACAAAATTCAAAATCATAAAAGACCAGATTTACTGGTTTGATACAGATTGGTGGGGCCCCTGAGACTATATATAACCCTCAGGCACCCTTCAAAACTCTAACTGAACCAACTCCTAAATATTTCCTTTCAGCCAGCCAGCCAGACCTATAAAGTGAATAATAATGTCCCTGAGAAACATTATCCTCAGAACAAGCAAGACTAAAAGTGCAGCATTTGCCCCAAAACAAACTCAGAAAGCTGTAAGGAAGAACAAATGGAAACAGGGAACCCAGGAATGAAGTAAGAAGAGTGCTGTTACACTGAGTAGATTGCAACTAATGTCATGACTAATGTCATGTAGCAAACTAATGTGCTCTGTAAACGTTCACCCAAACCACAATAATATGTTTACAAGGGAAAGGAAAAAAAAGCCATGGTTTGGGTCAGGTGCACCTTAGTCCTCAAAGTGACATCTTTGCTCTTTAACACTTTAAAGATCTGACCAATACATCATTTCATTTCTTTACTGCTACTTCTATGGATTGGTGTGGTGCTGCGGGATAATATGCTGAACTGCAAGGTTGGTGGTTCAAACTCACCAACTGCTCCCCGGAAACCCTCTATAGGATCACTAAGAGCCAGAACTGAGACTCAATGGCACTTGACAACATTTCCATGGAAGTAGATTGTGGACCCATGTAAAATGAAATCCTTGAAACTTCAATCTTTTCTTCATTTATCACAATGTTGCTTATCAGTTTCATTGTGAAGATTCTTGCCTTCTTTTATGTTGAGGTGTAATCCATACTGAAGGCTGTAATCTTTGGTCTGCATTCATAAATGCTTCAAGTCTTTTTGATTTTCACCAAGCAAGGTTGTATCACCTGAATATTGCAATCCTACCTCCAATCCTAATGCTATGCTCTTCCTCATACAGTCCAGATTTTGGGGTTATTTGCTCAACGTACAAATTAAGTTTGGTAAAAGGTTACAACTCTGATGCACATTTCTTCATTTAAAACCATTTGGTATCCCCTAGTTCACTTTGAAAAACTGCCTCTTGGTCTATGTACAGGTTTCTTTATGAGCACAATTAAATGCTCTGGAATTCTAATTCCTCACAAGGTTATCCATAATTTGTTGTAATCCACACAGTCAAATGCCTTTGCATAGTAAATATCTTTCCTGTATTCTCTGCTTTCTGTCAAGATCTGACACTAGCAATGCTATACTCATTCCATGTCCTCTTCTGAATCAGCTTGAATTTCTGGCAATTTTGTAAATATACTACTGCAACTGCTTTTATGTTATTTTCAGAAAAACGACTTGCATAGGATATTAATGATGTTGCTAGATAATTTCCACATTCCACTCACTTACCTTTCTTTGGAATAGGCACAAATAATGGATTTCTTCCAGTCATTTGGCCAGGTAACATCTAAATTCCTGAGCACTTCCATTATTGCATCCATCTCTTGAAACATCTCAATTGGTATTTCACCAATTCCTGGAGTCGTATTTTTTGCCAATGTCTTCAGTACAGCTTGGACTTCTTCAATACCAGATTCTTGCTCATATGCTACCTACTAGAAAGGCTGAACACTAACCAACTCTTTCTGGTATAGTCCTTCCATCTTCTTTTGAAGCTTCCTGAGTTGTTCAGCCATGTGTCCATGGAATCCTTCAATATTGCAACTCAAAACTTTTTTCTTTAGTTCTTTCAGCTTGAGAAATGCCAAACATGTTCTTCCCTTTTGGTTTCCTAACCCCAAGTTTTTGCACAT